TGTTTAAAAGTTTTACTAAAGAAAATCTGGCTTCAAAATGGAAGCAATTTTCCTTTTCAAGATTATATACCTGCATGAAAGAAGATGATTTCATTTACATTTAGTTTTTTCACAATAGCAAAATAAACTTCTTGTACATTGTATTTAAATTGACAAGAAAATTAAGATATAAAGTTCCATGTAACTTTTTGTACTCTGAACTGTCCTCTTTAAACATATTCCAGATACATTACTGATGATTTAAATATAGTACAACTTGATCAGCTTAAAACAGTGTTATGCTGAACAATCTGTTAAACCAAATGCATGTTAAAACAGTAAGTAGAGTTAACTACTATTAAGATTTAAAGGGAATTATAATGTATCATTAAAGTATACATCAGTTTTCTTACTATTACTTGTTCTATAATGCATTTCTTTCTAAAGCTAAAACCACATGCGAAAAAAAATAAACGGTATCTTCAAACTCATTCAACAGTTTGCTACTTTATGTGGTATGTAAATAAAGTCCTTTATTTAATTTTACACATATTATCTTATGCATTATTTTATTTTTCTTGAAGGAATTCAGCTTTCAAGGTCAAAATTAGTATGTGTTTACACACGAGGACATTTTCTTAATGTTACTACTACCTGCAAATACATTCTTCCATAATAATGCACTTTCAGTTTTCAGGAAAGATAGTCCAAGCCTTCTAAAAAGTCCTATGAATAAAATTTATAAAGGGAGGAGAACACAAAGTATGGTGAATCACTCCCCACTTCCACCTCCAACAAAGTCTCAAGAGATCCTCCTGCTTCAAAACATGAACACAATCTCTCAGGATTTATTTTTATTTGATCATACTGTGAATAAGAAAGATGTATTCCTATTCTTTTTGACACTAACAGTTTTATTAAATTTATTTTCACTTTCCTTCAAAAAGCACACAGCATATGTTAATATGGATTCTCAAACCCATTTAGATCCAGCAGGGTCTTTAGAATAATATATAGCCTTCTGATTATAAAAGCAACTGGTTGCTTATAAAAAAATGATATGCATCAGACATTTAATCAGAAAAAGGAAAATAAGAACATGTCTTTCATGTTTGATACCACTCAATAACTTACAGGATGATGTGAAAATAGTTTGGTTATAATTCTAACAAGATTAAAACCCACTTCAACTGATGAAAAAAAAATCAAACACTGAAGAATCAAATATTTACCAACTTAGCTAGCACTCCCATCCAAATAAATGCTTTCCATTGCACTGAATATTAGAATTAGAAATTCACTATGTTAAGGCATATTTTAATTAATATGTTCCAGAATTGCACAGTTATACTGGTCAGTGTTCCTATTTACCCACTCCTGCCCTCACCCCACCCTTTTTGTCCAGGGATCAAAATGTTAAGTCATGGTTTTGGTGGCTATTGTAGATTTGAGCTGGCATACCACAGTGTATTTACTAGGTTTTATGAGCATAAACATTAAAATGTTACACAAAATGTACCATAATTTACTCCACACTCCGATCTAAGATGGTTTAATGTCTTGACAAAAGGTGAGATGACTTAAGTACATTTTACATTTTGTGCATTTAGACCACCATACGCATAGATGTTCTAATGCTAAATTCTTGGTCTTCAGTATCTCATAGTGCTGGATGCTCGGAAGTAGGACAGAAACTTGTAACACAGACTAACCACAAAGTACCAGATGTTTCTTGCCATTTGCGATCTCGCAATAAAAATGCGCCAGATGAGGATCACAAGGATAGTATTAAAACCATAACGTATGTTCCGCAACCTGGAAAGCAAATCAAGAGATGTGTCAGACAGTATTTTCTAGAATAAAATCTTGTTGGATGATAGCTAATTAATACTTAGTTTTTAAGCTAATAAAAGCTTAAATCCATATTAATTTGAAACTTGTTTAAAAACTAAACTAGACGTCCTTAAATTAGAAAGTTAGCAAAATCCAAACAAACCTGAATGTATATTATAGGCAGTAGTACATCAAACAATACAGTACCTCTATTAACAATGAATACAGTAATGTCTTTCCTAACAGTGTATCTGCTATACAAACTTGAACAAATACTACTGAGCATCCTCTGTGAGCCCACTACTGTGCTAGGCATCAAGTATATTGTAGGTAAAACAGATATGCCCCTTGAACTTTTGAAGCTTCCTATCTAATCTAAAAAGGTTTATTCATTATATACATCACAGTACAGACAAAATATAATAAACATTTTTTGACATCTTTAGTTGCTTACAAGTTGTCAGACAAGTGAAATTCCTCCTGCAGTTATAGCTGACAGACACATGATCAAAGACCAACTGGACAAGTCCTCATCCAAGAATAAAACATAGCATTAGCTCTATACAGGAAGACTTTCTCATTCTCAAAGAGTGACATTCCCATGTTACCCAGCTAATGTTTCAAACATTTTCATGGTTTTTGATAGTGTTTGAAAGGAATACAAACCTTTAAACATATGTCACATAAATTCCATTAAATTCAGATAGGAACAATGACGTAAAGAAAAGAGCTTTGAATAGAAGTCAAAAGATCAATATTCCCGTTTGTTTTGTTTTGTTTTTTTTTTTTTT